CCCCAGCCTCTCCAACCCGGTGGCTGGGCGGGTGGTGGGCATCCTGGTGACCGTGCTGGTGCAGAGCTCCTCCACCTCCACCTCCATCATCGTCAGCATGGTCTCCTCGGGGCGTGAGTGCGCCCATGGGGCTCCCTGGGACCTGAGGCTGGGGGATGGGGTGGCTGCACAAGGTCACCCTGAGCTGGGCCATGCAGGGCTAGTGGGTCTCTCTGTCTCCAGTACTGGAGGTGCGCTCTGCCATCCCCATCATCATGGGCTCCAACATTGGCACGTCTGTCACCAACACCATCGTGGCCCTCATGCAGGCTGGTGACCGCAGTGAGTTCAAACGGTGAGAGCCGGTCGGGGCAGAGGGACTGGGGGGGCTGTGGGCGGCTCCCCAGGGGCCACCCCATGCCAATGGGCTCCTCTGCACAGGGCCTTTGCCGGTGCCACGGTGCACGACTGCTTCAACTGGCTGTCAGTGCTGGTCCTGCTGCCACTGGAGGTGGTGAGCGGGTACTTGCACCACGTCACCCACCTGGTCGTGGCCACCTTCAACATCCGCAGTGGGAAGGACGCCCCTGACCTGCTGAAGATCATCACGGAGCCCTTCACCAAGCTCATCATCCAGGTCTTCTCAGCCGTGGTGTCCCCAGGCTGGTAGTGGTCCCCCAGCATTGGTGTCCCCTATAGTGGTGGTGATGTCCCCAGCACTGGTGTCCCTTTGATGGTGGTCATGCCCAAGTGTCTCTAGGCTGGCAGTGGTGTCCCCAGGCTGGTGGTGGTCCCCCAGCATTGCTGTCCCTGTGCTGGTGTCCAGTCCTGTCTCCAGCGCTGGTGTCCCTTTGACAGTGGTTGTGTTCCAAGTGTCCCCAGGCTGGCAGTGGTGTCCCCAACCCAGTGAAGATGTCCCTGAGCTGGGGGTGCTATCAGCCCCCAAGGGCCTTCTCCAACGTGTGTGTTGTTGCAGCTGGACAAGTCAGTGATCACAGGCATCGCAACAGGGGACGAGAGCCTGCGCAACCGGAGCCTCATCCGTGTGTGGTGTGGCCCTGCACCCCCACAGGTGAGGGGC